CATGAAAAGGTTGGTCTGGACTTGCCCCAGCAGTGGGTTGTGGGGACCTTAGGGAGGCAGAAGATCGGGGAAATGACAAAGTCATTTTGTTCTCCTTTACTTATGCTGTTGGTTACAAGATGATGATCATAGAATCATAGAATGGCCTGGATTGAAAAGGACCACAGTGATCATCTAGTTTCAACCCCCCTGCCACGGCAGGGCCACCAACCACTAGACCAGGCTGCCCAGAGCCACATCCAGCCTGGCTTTCAATGAATCCAATGATGACAGAGAAAACTGTGTTCTCTTTTATTCTTTAAAGCTAATGCTAATGTTGGGTTTACACTGCTTTCCTTTCTGTTATTCAAGCTTCATTAAAGCTACTTCCTTAGAGTACTTGGAACTCTGTGTGGGCAAATAGTGCTGTTAAGTGCTCTGTCCCACTTATTTCAGAAACCCAGCAGGAAGGACAGGTCTCACAGGGAGAGGGTTGCTGGGGCGCTGGGGACCAAACCATGCTGCTGATCCTGTTGTGACCAGGTAAGGAATGGGTGACTGAAAGGTGATGTACAGTACAGCAGAAAAATAGTGAGTGATTCAGTTGCAAAATCAGTGGTGTGCCTGTTTTTGCACTGTAGGAAATACTGGGTTGGTCTCATGTATAAGAGGAGGACGTAAGGTTTGGATGATCTGTTGTTGGTTTGTTTGTCTGTGTTCTGTCAATGCCTGCTTTGCTTTGGTGTTTCTGCCTCCAGAGTCTGTGTAACTACATGTGGAGGCACACACAAAGGTTTTAGGAGAGATGGTGTAGATAACAAAGCTGCAAGCTAGGAAATGCAATGCTTTTAAGGTACAGCTATAATGAAAGACACGCTACTGCATTTTAGTTCTTGCCATTATCAGAACTCTACTGAATCTACTCATTTATTTCTGTGAAAATAATGCAAATCTTGGTTCTATTTTGCCCCTTCAATTAGATTTTTGCTTTAGTGGCTACAGTTGTTCTAATTCCTTTACTAGACACAGTACAGTGGATGCTTGTGGCCTTCTGTTGGTGCTAAGTAGATGATTTGGAAGTACTGCAGCCAAAATTTACTCTTCTAGCAGAAGTCATTATTATCCTCATCTCATGAGTAGGCAAAAATAAAGTTAGAGGTGAAAGCTTTATAATGAGAGTTTCAGTAGATACAGATGTTCTGGACCTAGTAGTAAAACTGCATGGATGAGATCTTCCCAGGCAGCTGTTGTCTGTTTTTGCTCAGAGATTGTACTCTACCTGATAGACTAATGTGTGAAGGCCCCACTGTTATGTTTTCCTCCTACAAAAAAGCAGAAAATAATCTTCTTCTTTGTCATTTTCTGCAGGTGGAAGAGGGATAGAAGTGGCAGTAAAATTGCTCACCCAGTTACTGGCAAAAACATCTTGCAGTTTGTAGCTATCAAGAGGAGAGACTGTGGGGAATGGGCCATCCCTGGGGTAAGAGCAGAGCTCTGAAGTGGAAGATTTCTTTTGGCAAAGTGAAGAGCTGATAACTGACGTGTATGTGATAAAACTGCTTTGTAAGAGTGACATCATTTTGTAGAGGTGTATGGGAACTGCTGAGTGACAGCCTGAACCTCTGATTGATCAGCTGAGGTGAGCAATGAGTCAGCCACAGGAGCACAGGTGAAGGCAATTCACCTGTGCTGCCAGAAGGGGTGGAGCCTGGCTGCACCTCTCCTAGACCTATTTAAGAGCTGACTGGCAGTGGGGAAGGATCTCTTCTGGAGATTCATTCTACTGGAGTTTTGTAAGTGAGCCCATGGTTTTGGTAAGCTTTCTGTCTATTCTCTTTTGTTATCGTAATCTGCTTTGCCGAACTCTCTTGTTTATTTTATAATTATAACATCTTAATATTTGTTGATTGTACAAGAGGGATGGAGAAAGGTATTACAAATATTTTTTTCTCAGGCCTCTCTTGGTGGGCTTCTTGCCTTTTCCACAATATAAGGCAATATATATACTTAATTCTGATACTGTCTTTTGCTTAACGTAGATATAATTTAATCTGCTCCAGATTTTGGATGGATATGCTTGTTCTTTATCCACAAATACAGACTTCCTCTCAGATCCAGAGTGTGGTGCCGGTGGTTGTAATACACACCATTCAAAGAATACTATGCTGAGTGAGGTATGAGGGTACTGATATTTCTTTGCCTGTCAGGGGATGGTGGATCCAGGGGAGAAGATCAGCGCTACTCTGAAGCGGGAATTTGGAGAAGAGGCCTTGAACTCCTTACAGAAATCACCTGAGGAAAAAGCAGAATTGGAAAAGCAACTCCAGAAACTGTTCAGCCAGGAGCACTTTGTGGTAAGCTGTGTGTCTTTGTGGTAACCTCTGAGCTCTGTAGGTAAACCGTAGCTATTGAGGAACTGAGGAAGTGCAGCTGTTACTAAAATAGGCTGTGATACTCAATTTCTTGTCATGTAAGATTCTAAGGGTGAATCTAAGGAAAACACTTTGTAATGATTCCACCTCATTTTTATGCTGTTACATTTCTTTTGGTTGTTTGCTGCATTAGGTGTACAGAGGATATGTGGATGACCCTCGTAACACCGATAATGCTTGGATGGAGACAGAGGCTGTGAATTACCACGATGAAACTGGTAGGTATCTCTGCTTGTGTTCTTAGCTGGTTTTTACTGCAGGTACTCTTCTGAAATAGTGGTGTCTTTGAGGCTGAGGTGTGCAATGGAAATGTATGAGCATGAAAGTGGTGTGTGAGTTCTTGGACTAAAACTAGTATGTGTGAGAATCTTGTCTTTTGTGATGTTTACCCACAGCAAGTAATAGCTGTTCCCCTTTGATTTCTCTCTATCCTGAACTAAGAAAATTAAGTCATATTCAGGCAAATTCTGTGTTTTTGTGTTAGTTCCAAACCACAAAATGTGCCTTGGTGTGGAGACTGAATGCTAGGCCTGGTTTCTTTTTGGTCACTTGAGTCAGTTTAATTTCCAATTTCAATGGTGAAGGACATTCAGCTCTTTTTTTATTCTCCTTCAGCAGCTGTGTGCTTCAGGAGCATTGCCTCTGGCAGATTTTCACTGCATTTATTGCTTGGAGATCCTGGTTACTCTTGACACCTTTTATCTTGGGTACTCTGCCAGAGTAATTTTTGTGCTTTGTTTTCCTTTTGTAAACCAAATAGAATGGGCATATATATGTTTCTTGTTCTTTGATCCGTAATCCTGAGTTCTCATGTCTTCCCTCTTGAGATGAATTGGCTTGGTTTACTATCATTTTTGCTGCTTTGGGTAGTTAAAAGGTAAGTGTTGAAGCTTAGCATGCTGTTGGTTCTTGATTTATCAACTCCCAGAAGTAATGAAGGTTGTTCCTTTGATATTTGTTTCTCATAATTTTTTTTTAATAATCATTTATTGTCTTGTTTATGCAGTACTGGGACTTGACTCAGAAACCAGTTAGAAACTATAGAGAGTAATTCAGAAGCTCTTCTCTGCATCTCCACTGAATGGTTTTTTAAATACTTTTGAGGCTTTAATAAAGTATTAATTATTCTTATTTTGTATAGGTATGCGTCACTTTCAGAATTTGGTTCCTAAAGTAGTAGAAATAGAATAGTGGAAGGGAGGAACTGATAAGGTGGGAGAGAAGATGCAAGAATGTGTCTAACTCTTGTTTTGTGGACAGGTGAGACCATGGATAACTTGCCTCTGGAAGCAGGTGATGATGCTGGGATGGTGAAATGGGTTGACATCAGTGAGAAGCTCAAGCTGTATGCAAATCATAGCTACTTCATTAAGCTTGTGACGGAGAAATGGGGAGCCCACTGGAGTGAGGAACCTGGTTGTAGATGCCCTGAGTGATATAAAGGAGGAACGGACCCCTGTGTGAAGGCTGGTGTTCAGCAGCCTTGGAGTTGAGATGATGCTGAACTTCTCAGTGCTCAAATACAGCATATACCACGTGTAAGAGACTTTGTTGCTGCAAGTAATGTGTAATAATGACTGTCACCTGTGTCACCTGTGTACAGCCATCCAACTGTGGGATTAGCTTTGTGTACACAGGTCAGGCAGAGCTAGCTATGACAGAACATGTTTTTAGAAGGCTTGAAATGGCTTCTTTGAATTTCTCAACGAGTGAAAAATGAGATGAACGTGGAGCTGTTAACTTCATGTCTTTAATTATTTGCAGCCAAATCTTCATATCAGCAGAACTGCAAGAGATCACTGGGATTCTTAATGTAGTTCTGAGCTACACTTAAGCTCTATTTTTGCACTTGTTTCTTGTCAGGGGTGTAAATCTCTCACCAGTCTGTGGTTTGTAGGATGATGACCTGAATAGTTACTAAGATGAATTAAAGAACTATGTATTTGAGTGATCTTCCTTCTGAGTGGTTTCACTTACAATGTCCTATCAGTGACTTTTCTGATCTGTGATTAATTTTCACCTTTAATTGCTTTCTAGCTTGCGGTATGGATGGTGTTCACATGTGGATGTCTTACAGTGCTTCCATCTAAAAATATTGCTGTTGGAAGATGCATCTTCACTGGTTTTTGGCAGATATTGAGCTTCTCTTTGTACTGCATGTGAAAGTACAGCTGCTGGGGAGGCAGTGCTGTAAGCAGAATCATTGGAATGTGTGGCCTTCAAAGCAGACTTTCAAAATGTGGGTTGTGTTTTTAGGTGATGGCAGTACTTTCCAGTCAAAAGGCAAGTGTGGGCCCTTAATGATACTGGTTATTGAAGAGTTACTAGTGTTTTTCCTGTGTGTTTTTTAGTCAAGGGGTAGGTGTGTTTAATTATATAATAGTATGACAGTTGACCACAACAGAAACCTAAACAAAAATCTAGGTAGACTTTGTTTATTCAATATTTCTATGCAGAAGGCTACACTGACAGTAAATGACAACAAAAGAAAACCTATTTCAAAGTAGTTTTCTTCAGTGTATTATAAAATTCACATCCTATAATTCTACTGAAAGGTTTTGTGAACAACTCAGTCTCACGTTAGTCCTACTAAGAGTTTATTGGTACATGCAGAAGAAAACACTGTTCAGGTATGAGCTACTTAGAGTTCTTAAACACTACTGCTGTTAATGAATTTGCAACGATTAGGCGCGTGTGTTATCTGAGGGTAACTCATTCTGCCTCCAAGAATCTTATGCCAACTTATTACTGAAAATTATAGAGCTGTTAATTGCAGTCGGGAGTGGGCATCACATTTGACAAGCTGTAGCACTGTACAGGGACTCTGCTCAGCCGGGCTCAGAACAGGAGACTTTCATTTATGTCTTCTGCAACAGAGAAGGAAGTGTTATTAGCATTTGTCAAACTGCTGTTTTTATGTAGTGCTGTTATTAAAAATGGTGTACTGAAATTTCAGAGAAATTCAGAACCTTGCACCTCTTGCTGTTCTGACTGCCTAGAATTTTTCTTGAAATCTGGAACTTAGCAGTGGGAATGTTTTGTACTGTGTGCTTTCCCGGTCTTTGAGGCTTACCTTCCTTAATCCCAAAGCAGTGGCACCATTCCTTCAAAGTGATAAGTTTGTCTTGGTCTCCATCACACTCTTGGAAGAAACGTGTTATGCAGTGTTCCATGGGAACGAGGGAGGCTCTCAAAGGAGCAAGCTCTGAGTGCGTCAGTGATCTGAAAGGAGGAGAACACAGGTAGAGGTGTACTTCTGTGATAAATTATCAATGTCACCGAAGATGCTCTAAGTGTCTGAAAAGTGGTAGCAGTGATATTGACATAGAAGTCTATACATTTTAACTATTCTATGTTCTTTAAAAGGTTTTTTTTTTCTGGAAGAGTTATTACTGTCATTGGTTTACAATTCACCAGTCCTGTCATTTTACCATTAATCTTCAGGAGAAGCTTGCAAAGATGCTTAGCTATATTCTATTAGGTGTGATGGATGTGAGGGATAAAGGCCCTTGAAACACAAATCCCACCATCAAGTGGCATGACTGAAGGCCTGAAGTCTGAATCTTATTCTCAGAGGTAAGTTTTGAAGGATCAGTGCTGGCTTGTATCAGCTGAGGGACACCAGTCCTTTATGTAGAAGATGCTTCAAGTGGTTTAGGAAAGTAAAACATCCTTAACTTGACCTAAGTCAGAATTTAACATACAAAGAGTTCTTACCTGTCAGTGGGGTGCTGGTCAAGCTGATAAAATTGCCAGTGCACAGGATACACGTACATGTGGTAGTTTTTCTCAAAGTCATGCAGGAGAAGCTCAACTGGATGCTCACCAGAGACGAGGCGCTTCTCATTCAGGTATATTTTTTTGACCTGGATACATAAGAGAAGTTGATTTTTGCTTTGAGGACAAGACATGGCCTGAAGAGAACTCTCCACCAGGGAGGCAATTTGAAGAAATCAAGCTTGATGAAATACTACTGGGGAAATGAGTTTTTATTGTTTAAATGTACAGTGTAGAAAAAGCTTGTCTCAGATTTGCCAGGTGGGTGTTGGTGGTTACCATGTGAACTTCAATAGTGACTGGAAAGGAAGTCTGACCCCCTCTGACTCAGTAGGCATCAGACCCAGGTAAACAAGACAGTGGCCTCAGACAGTTGGAGGCAAAACTGACTCTGATGTTAGCATACCTTCAGTTCTGGGGTAAGCTGCTCAGCTTTGCTGTATCAGATATTGTGTAATTCATGGCTGTTAGTATGAGTCTTTCATGGTGGGCCATGATCCCTCTTGTAGTTACAGGGCTTAGTTTTTAACAGTTCTGTGTATTTTGTACAGGCTGAGTATCAGTCAATTTTATCCCATGAATATCATGCTGCAAGCTTGATTTGTAAATTGACAATGTATGAAACTGTATTAAAACCTGTAGAAGACACCCATAACTGTTCATTCCAATTTCACATATTTATATTGATTGCCAAGCATAAGATATGTCCTAAGAACAGAAGAGCTGGAGAATGGCATCGACCACATGAATCGGATCCTTATTCCCATTAACTGATTAGACAAAAGGTTTGTCTCAAATTGCTTACTGAACAACAAAAGCAATGTTGTTTCTTCTCAAGAGAACAGTTATCAGATAGGTGTGCATTTATTTTTTTTTTTTTTCCCCTTGCATGGAAGTACACACTGAAAAATAACGTACCTGGCTTAGATTCACTTTGACAAAAATGAGTATTTATAGCAGAAATGTGTCTATGCTTAGATTACTGTGAGGGGACATGTAGGTGTGTTTGGGAAGCTGTAAATGGTATGGAGATTGTCCAGTTCATAGTTTGACTTTCGTGCATGTGATTTGATATCCAGAACCCTAACCAGAACAGAAATGCTAATATGAAATAGGGAAACCTGTCGGATGTTGCCCTGCTTGAGCAGGGTTGGGCCCAGGTGATCTCCAGAGGTATGTTCCAACTTCAAGTGTTCTGTAATTCTGTAAATCACTTGTTTCAGCTGGTTTGTACTAACCATGTCACTGCATCTTCCTGTTTGTATATGGATCGCTTACCTTATTTCTTTGCTTTTCAGTCAGAAATCCAGATTTATCCTGATCACGTTCATAATACTGCATAAGGATGTTTTTGAGCCAGTCTCGCATACGGAGAGGGAACTGATCCACTTCATAATCAGTGCAGTGGGGTATGTCTGTGCCAAAACACAAAGCTTTTGTTAAGTCCCTGTTCAAGCATTTCTGAACTAAGTTAGGCTTGATTCTCAATAACAGACTTCAACTTCAGCTTAAAATTGATGTAGTTGGTAATATATAAAACTGGGAATGCATCTAGTGGGTTCAGTAATACACCTAGAGTTTGCTGATTGGTGCATATCCATCACAGGTCATGCAGGCCACAAGTTTAACCTATCTGTGTACAATAAAAGTAGAATCATGCAGTGAAGTGCAGTTGAAGTCATTTTCAGACCACTGATTGTATGAAAGCAGGGTTTTTGGGAGCAAAGGAATATTCTGGCTAAGTGAGTCTTTCTTCTTAGGGTACGTGGCTACTGAAGATCATCTTAGAAATCAACTCTAGCTTTTGGATTGTGACTTCGGGTGCGTTTGAGTTGTTTGCATGTGGCGTTGAGGGGCATGGATTGTTGATGGGATTTTGTAGTTAAGGTTGAGGGTTGGATCTTAAGGTCTTTTCCAATCTAGATGATTCTATGGTTCTGCATTTGGTGTCTAGGTAGCTTTATGATTATTTTTTTTAACGCGATGTTTCAGTCTATGAAGTTGATGTATATACTGTGTAGATGTGAAAAAAATCTTCATATGGTAAAGCACTGGCATCTGTATTAACACAAAGGACAGTGCCAGGAGAAGATAGAGTTAACAGCCAGATTTAAGCACAGGAGGGATGTCTTTAGAGTTCAGCCATTTAATAACTTTAACTGTAGGAAAAGTGAGTGGTGTGACAGAATTAGAAGGTTGTTTTTGTCATGTGCATAATTGATAGAGAAGTGGGAGAGCACAAGAAGAAAGATGCCTTATGCTTAACTGGTGATTCTGAGGTTCCTCATATGTAGACAGATTTTATGGAAAAAGAGGTCTTACATTTGCAGGCGCCCATATAGTCTAGGTGCAGCTGGCGTCCCACTTTTGTCCCTTCAAGTTGACATTTGGTGCCGAAGAGTTGGCATGTGCCATCGTAAGTCTTATTGTCTGTTCCACAAACCTATGGGAGCAAAAAATAAACATGCACACCCCTCTATGTTCAGAAAAATTACCTGGTCAATAATGGAGGCTTTACAATAAAAGGGTTGCTGCAATATGACGTAGCAGTGGGAATACCTGCAGAGATTGCATGTAATCAGATGTATTGAAAATTCTAGTTGCAATATGCTTGCTTAAGAATTAGGTGGCTGTAGTTATGCAATTTTCAAGACCTCTGAGTTGGTTTTTTTTTTTTTGTGATAATACAGTGTCTGAGATGCTACTGGATTATAACACTAGGTATGTACTAGTATTTGCTATGCACTCTGAAAGCTTGAATGGATAAATCATTGTTTTTAATGACAGGAAAAAACAGTGTTCCCTGGAACACTAATGGAAGCAAGTCACATTGGCTATATAGGTTTATACTATTCCAATTAATGTAAGTATTGATACTCTACTCAAATTGACATTTACTGAAATGATCCAAGCCTGTTGGTGTGATTCTTAGGGTAGAATTATTCTAAATATTAGCAGGGGAATGTGGTATCTTGTAAGTGTTGTTGCTGGCTTTCCCACATGCTGTGCTCTGAATGTAATACTTACACGCTCATAATCTTTCGTGGAAGGGCAAGCAGCAGGATCTTGGCAAATACAGCTGGGTTTTCCTTGCTTGTCTGCTTGGCAGACTTTTCCTCTTTTGCAGTGGAAGTTCCTACAAAGATCTAGAAATAATGTCAAGAAGGAGAAAGTATAAGAGAGAATAGGGTGAAAACAAGTGTTTCTGTCAAGTGCTACGCACAAAGTAAAATAGGAACAAGTGCTCACCAAGAAGTCAAGTGCTTTTTGCAAGCTTAAAGTGTTTCTGAATCTTTCACTGAATAAAAGTCAATTTTTTAAGTGAACTTTTCTAAGCAACTTCTAGCACTCCCACGTATAAGTTACACAGGGAAACATTTATCAGAAAAGGCCATTTCTCCTTTAGGGGCTGATATTTACTTTCAACTTTTTTGAAATGTGTCCCGCCTGTTCTTGCTTAATTCCATTCCCAGCTTAATTCAGGCTAGCATTGTTAAACTGAGGGCTTTTAGTAGAAAATGATTCCCAGCCTGTAGTGCTGACACAAAAATGTATGCACAACCTAAATATATTTTTCAGAAAACTGCAGTAAATCCAAGGGCATGCAAAAAGGATTCTTCTCTGGAACATATCTGGTGTAGAATGATGCACCAGCACAACTCAGTCATGTGAAATCGCACCCTGCCCAAGGCAGAAAAGAAGTGCAGGCCAGCAGATTCCCAAGCCACAGTGAGTTAGTGGTGATGTGTGGGCTTGGCATAGGGTTTACTCACCCGAGAGAGCCTTCCTAGTGCTGTTCCTTGCACTTTCCTCATTATATGAACCTCCTGTGGTCTTAACCTGTGTAAGTCAGAGACAGAAGCTGTGGTAAATCTTGGAAGGAAAAAATACTTGGAAATTTTTTTTTTCTTAGATACAAATATAGCATACTGAGTCAGATCCATATTTGCTGCAGAAAGAGGTTGCTATGTGAAACATGCAAGAGGGATAAGACCTCTAAGAGCATTAGGGTTCTCTCTTCTCTGGATCAGTCAGGAGTTCAGTAAGACCTGGGCTCCTCACAGTCTGCAATAAGTGACATGCAGCATGTGGTACCTTGAGGCTAATACAACCATGGCTTCAGTCTTTACTTGGCATCAGTGAGCACAGACTGCATCTCAGCAGTGCCTGGGGAGCTGCTTGGGGCTGGAGCACTCTATGGGATGTAAACTGTGCTCACTTCCTTTCTGGTCCTATTTCAGTGTTGTACAGGAAGTGACACATGACTAACTGGGTAATAATGTGTAGTGAGACCTCAAAAATAGTATTAAATTGTTAGACTTGTTTGTGTCCAAAGCATACTTTTGATCACAAGGAACTTAAATATGTGTTTTTTTCCCTCTTCTGATCTTCTAGTTACATTTTAAAGAGAATTTACCTCATCCTCACTTTCCGTTGAATTCATGTTCTCAGCAGAGCTACTTCTTTGCAATTGTCTCTTGCTGCTGGAATTAGATGGCTCATAGTGGTAATGATCATCTTCGGAGTGAGTAATGTCTTTAATTTTGTCACCTTGGTAATCTTCCATCTCCCTATAAACTCCACTGTCATCTCCAGCAGTTCCTTCCTCTTTTTGCTTGTTACTGATGCTGTCCTGGTCATTGCTTTGCATTCTCTCCTCTTCCTCGTAGACTGCTTCCCTCCAGACATTGCTGAGATCTTCCTCACCATCATCACCACTATCATTATCATCCTCCTCAGCATTGCTGCCCTCCTTATCCTGCCTTTTCATCACTGCTTCTTGTTTGTGCTGATCGTTTACTTGAAAGTGCTCTTTGCTTTTTTGGCTTTGTCTTTTTTCACCTTGATCCTCATTATGATTTTTCTTTGAGAGAAGTTTTCCTTCCTTGTAAGGTTTTTCCTGACTTTCCTCCTCTGTGCTGAATTTCTCACTATGTCTCTTGGTTATATGCACTGGTAGTCTGGAATCTCTCAAGAATTCACCGGATGGCCGGCTGTTTTCATTTTGCCAGCTCCTGTATTGGCTTCTGTGACTTGTCCCATGTGCTCTGTGCTTCATATCCCTATAATCAGTTTCTTCACCCCATTCTTCATCTTCTTCTTCCCCTGCTTCCACTTCATCACTTTCACTGTTGTTTTCATCTAGGCCAACTGTGTTTTTATTGTACTTCCATGTGTTGAGTTCACGAACCAGACCAAGAGCATCCGCTGGACTTTCTACTCTCAGAGCCTGCTGACCAGCCATGCTGCTGTGCTTCTTGTGCCTCCTGGGCTGGTGGTGCTCAGAGCTGAGCTGTTCCCTGTTGCTGCCAGAGTTGCTTTCCCAGTTATCAGAAGCCAAGCCTGGATTACCATGCAGAGTAAGGAAGTTAATGCTCCTCAGGCTGTTTTTTGTTTGATGCTCACCACCACTTCGTCCTTGTCTTCTGGCAGCCCAGGGCTCATCCCTCTGTGTATCTAGTACTGGTACCTCTGCTTTTATGGTACTGTGGCCAGACAGCACATCACCCTTATTTACAGACCCCGTGTTCTCTTCCTCTGAGGTTTCAGAATTAGTATATTTAGTCTGTGGGGGGAGAAAAAAGCACCACCAAAGATTTAACAAATAGACTAATAAATCTTGGAGTATATTTGAAGTCCTTTTGACAGGATTTTTGCCTGATTGGAAAAACAAATACAACTCTGATTTTCTTGTTTTATGTTTTGTTTTTTTGGTTTTGTTTTTTTTAAATGTTAGGGCATGAAATTCACAGCTGGTAGCCTTTCCATGTTTAGCAAGTTTCCATCCTCTTTTTTTTTTTTTTCCCTCACTTGTGAGGATACTTAGTGCAGTGACAAAAGGTTTAGTCAGTGTGGCGTGGCTATAGTCAACTACTGGTGCCTTTGGGAAATATTGTGTCTTCACTTGGAACTGATTATTCATCTGTCACTGATACTGTGTTTTATTTTCATACAGATGCCTTCTGTGTGAGTTGTTTCTGAGGTATAACTGTAGGCTGCAAGCTGTTTGAAAAGGTGTTCACACCAAAGTTTCTGCTGGAAACTAAGAGGAACAGTTACTTTCTGCTTTTTCATTATAGAGCACTATCTGAGTTAGCATGATATGCATCTAGAAAGCTGCACATTGCTAGATGTGATTCATTATTTGAAAATGTTATTGGAAGGGAAGGCATCTTGTATTTTATTTCTATACAGCATTCTCTTAATTTTGTTTTTATGGAATATTTGTTGGTTTGAAACCCAAGTCCTTTGTGCCTGAGCTACAGGTGCTCGTCAGAATAACACAATAAAGACCAGTTCCCACTTGGATTGACCACGAATGCGAAACTGTGAGCCCTGTACTTAGCCTGCATATATGGCATCGTGCTGTTGAAGCCACCTATCTCATTACCACCAGAGCTGCCTGTCTGGTTTGTCAGCCACTGTATAGCTTGCTAAGATGAGCTGTGTCTTTCTAACGCTCTGTGTAGAGTTGTGGCCAAAATTCTTACGTGGTTGAGAATCTGTGTATGATTTTTCTAATTAATGTGTGTGTGGTAATGGCTTCTATGTAGTTGATATGAAAAATGTAGGTCACCTCTTATTGCTTAAAGAATGAGAGTACCTTCTCTGCAGTTTTCTGTCCATGGGCCCCAAATTGGTAGTTCAGGGGATAGGTCTAGAAGAAACAATTATATTAAAAATCTGTTTATAAATAATTCTGGGCTAACAGAGTTTTCATGGAAATGGAAAGTTCAAGTGCATAGTAATAATGGCATGGATAGTGCTTACTGGAGTGGTGAAAGCAGATCCTAGAAGACAAATCAGGAGCACTACAGTCTTCATGTTTTTCAGATCTTAATCAGGATGGTAACTAATGGTTCAGTGGTAGGATTTGAAGGTTTTCTTTCTGCAAGCAACGTGAAATGAAACAAAGTTAGGGTGTAGGCATCATGGTTTAGAAATTATTGATGGAAGCGATGTGGCGGCTGCTGTAGGTTGAAGGTCAGTCTGAAAACCCAACATTTCTATGCAATGCCCAGGCCTATATAAATTAAGGATCTTGATCAATTTATTTCAAGGAGCATTTGAACAGTGCTCTCTGACATAGGGTTTGAATATTGAGTGGTTCTGTGTGGAGCCAGGAGCTGGACTTGGTGATTCTTAAGGTTTCCTTCCAACTCAGGATATTCTTTGATTCTATGATCTAGAGGGCACTTTGGTTCTGCCCCATTTACAAGACTTAGGCTGTGTGCTACATCCACCAGCTCTAGAGCCTTCCTGCTCAGGAAGCACCAAACCCAACTGTGCTGCACTGTAGCATGAGGCAGATGGCTGGAAGAGCGTGTAGGGGTTTCTTTATTCTGTGCTAATGTTCTCAAGTGGGCGAAAGGCAATTTGTTTTCACCTTTCAGAAATCACTAGCATATTTTCTCACCTTTGCAGTACATATGCACTGGAATTTCATATGGCAGTAGCTGTATCATCAGGAATACAAAAAAATAAAACATTGTTTCAGTTTTTCCTTGATCTTACTCACTATTTTGCTTTCATTCTGTTTTTTATTTTGTCCTATATTTTTCCCTGTGGTTGTGAGTAATCACTGGGATTTTCACTTTGCTTCTGTGCCTGTTTGCATTCTACTGACTGTTTTTATCTCTGGAAATTCTCTTCTGTCCTCGCTGCTCTTTAAATTATTTTCAATTTCTACCTCACGTTTCCATCTTCATTCCTTTCCATGTATCTTTATCGACATAAGTGAAACACTTGTCACTTTGTTATCTGAAGTTCATGGTGTCTCTTTTTACAGGTCAAGCTTTCTGACATGAAAACATTGGCAGTAGTTCAGTCAGTTGGGTCAGTTGTATTCAAATGTAATTCAAATGAGGCTCGGTGTATGTTTTCAAAATGTTCTTGGTTGGGGGGGAAGACCAAAACCTCAAAAGGAGGATTCCAGGGAAGCTCGTGTTTATGTGAGCTAAGAAACAACCAATCTGGTTGTTGCCATGCCTACATCTGTTTACAATATAGATATAGAGCCCTAGTAACAGTATGCTGTGTTCTTGAAAACCTGGTAGAGAAGAAGTACTTGAATGGTAGTACTAGAAGTTGCGTAGCCTTCCCTTCTCTTTGTTTCAAATCAGCAGTACAGCTCTGGGCACTGAGTGTCTCAGTTCTGAAACCCCATTACGTGTATTTGTTTGGTAAAGCAGTTTGATAGCTATAAATGTATTATAAATTTATAATTACTGGCTTGCAAGCTGGCTCCATTGCCTCTGCCTTTGTCCAAATAATGCAAAATGTAGTTGAAGTCAGTCTGAAGTTCATATACAAAATAGAATAACAAATAATATAATAAATAACAAAATAGAAATTTGATGTGTTTTTTTTCCTATCACCAACCTGCAGTGGCCCATGAGAACCATTACTTTTTATTTACTGGAGAAGTCTTGACAATCTTGAATTGAGTGTAAGAATGCAGCCTATTCAGGTATCTTTTTTCGTGTTACAGTAGTCCAAAGGGGTTGCCAGCAGTTATAAACTACCCAAATACAGGTTAATCTGCCCTAAACAGTAAGCAGCATCTTTAAGAGTTAAACTCCTTCTTGGACTATGATTGTGCAAGTATTGCCCTTGTTAATCATGTTGCTTGACTTTTTCTCAGAGGGCAGAAAGATTTGTTTCTGAGCAAGAAGCATCTCCTCACACTGATTTTTAGAGCACTGATTGTGCCTCATATTGGTGCTCACTGCTGAAATAGGTAATTTCTTGTCTTATGCTACCAGTTCCATTATGCTGGGAGCTGTTTGCAATAGGTGGATGGAAACTACCAGACTACTTCAAAAGCCACAGTAAAAAAATATTTTTCAATGCTGGCTGTGCTCATAAAGAAGAGGGAGCGGTGGGGGAAGCTGGGATTACTGTCATAAAAGCTGCAAAGTCAATAACCATAGCAGCTGCCTCAACAAAGGGAGAAAAAATCTTTGTACAATGGACTGTAGCCCTTCCATCCTCCAAGGTTGAGAGGAATGTTTCTCTTGGCATCACTTCATTTTCAGTGAAGTGCCAGGGAATGACTGTGAAATATGCCAGGACCTTTTGCTGGAGCCCAAGAGAACAGTTTTATTTTGTACAAGCAATTTGGGTGAAGGATTTGAGGTGGCTTACTGGAGCCAGAGGCAAGGAATGTGAAGTTTGAGCTTAGGGAGAGAAAAGCACCGGGAACTCTTCCTGTAGGCCTGCTGCCCTTCTCACTGTAAAGGTCATGGTTTATGGCAGTTGGATTTTTTTGCACTTCCTCATTTAGTCTTCTGATGTTAGAAAAGACAAGTCATTCTTGTTACAGACTTACTGCCTGCTCAGGTGCAAATGTAATGCACAGTAACTAAGATGACGGTCATGGAAAAAGCTCAGCATTATCTGTCATATGATGCAAGGATTTGCATCGTGACGCTATTCTTTTTTCTACCCTGAAATCTAAATGTGAAGACACTTTGTTCTTTCCTTCATTTCCAAATTTGTCCCACAGAACTGTGTTTCTAAAAAAAAGCTTTTGTGTCACTTCAGACGAGCAGAACTGTCAGTATTGCAGATGGAGCTATTCTGAAAGCAGCACGCCCCCACCTCAAGAAACACAGTCACCATGCTTTGCAATGACATCTGTAAGGAAGCTTGATCAAAAGACAAACATGGAATGGATTTCTTGCATAGCAGTATCTTGCTCTGAGAAATGGGGAATTTAACACCTGGCATACTGAGAAAGCATTGCTAACTAGGCTTTCACCACTTTTTTATTTTTTTTATTTTTCCTCCAGTCTAGGAAAGAAATTTATTTGCCTGAAACCTGGAGGAGGCAGAAGCTTTGACTCACTTACTCCTACAGTGAGTCCCCTGTAGGATGCATGCATCTCGGCTTAAAATGGAGGAAAAAAAAAAAAAAAAAATTGTCCTGACAAATGGCAACTATTTTGGGTAGACAACCCTGGAATGATGTTTTTTTCCAGAGAACAGCACAGAGCTGCTGTGTGGAGATGGACCTGAGGATGCTCCTGTTACTCAGCCCTATTGGATGTGGCTGCACTAAGTCATATTAAGCAACTCCAGTTTTTGTTGTTGCATCTTTTCTGTTGGGAAGCCTGAAAGTTATAACCACCAGTTCAAGTTCTACCTAGACTTCTGATAATGTCTTCAAACCTCAGGTTGCAGAGATGCTCGTTTATGGCTTTATTTCACTTTTAGTGCTCCTGCAGTTGCTGGTGTCATTGTGAGCATGTGAGCAATGCGCTATTGGTGACCAGAAATTACTCATGAGCTTATCTCTGGCAAAAGTACTACACAGGGGCTACCACTCTTATCAAGTGTGGCAGCAGTCACTTGTAATGTGATCAATGACACAATTTTTTTGTCTAGAGGTCTTCAGGTGATGATATCTGGCCTGCCAGTCTTGCCCATTCATAGCTAAGACCAGTTCCCCTTCATCAACCAGGAATTTCACCAAGGCTCACTGTTTGTCATTGCTCACAGCATGAAGTATGCAGCTTAAATGGGAAGTGAGAGAAAACCATCTGCAAGAATAGATGAGGTGGAAAGTGCAGCTTTTACTGCTTCCTTTGTGTTTTGTTTCTAATTGGGCATTTTTGGTCAGCCACTGGCACAGCAAATCCAATGTGGCCATCATGTTTTCAAGGCTTATGAAATGCCACCCAGAAATGATTAATTGGCAGAGGTTGCAGCTGAAGGTGATGAATGCCTTGTGATAAACAAAAGCATGTAAACTGACCTAGTTTCAGCTTTGGCAGTGGGAGAAAATTCTGTGTAGTCCTTTGTCATTAGACCTAATTCTAGAAAAATGGAGGTGCCTTTTCTGTCACCCTTAATGAGCGTGGCAGCTGTCCAGGATTTGGGAAAGAGAATGAGAAGGCAAGTCAGCTTTGGAACTCAGTATTTCATTGTGTACAGTGGACACATTCTTGTCTCATGAGGATGGGACTCAGATGATGAGTTTTTTGAGTCAAACATGAAAAGACACTGCAACTTTTTTCATAATCATTTAAACAACAGAGGCTTCAGAACTGAGCTTTTGCTCACGTACCCTGAAATACCTTGGTAAAATGATACAGTCTATTTCAGCAGGAAATGCAGATGCTGATGCCCACATCCTCACGGATAAATACTTCAAATATGTGTACCTCATAGGCAGATGATAATCACAGTACTCATAGTTGTGTACAAATATCTAAGGGAAAGCCATGAATTGCAGTATGGAAACTAAGAACTGTACAAAGTCTTCCTGTTATCAGGATGTGGTAACAGGATTGATTTTTCTTCAAGTGCAGCTGGTAAAGCACAGACTGTTTCAAAAGTTCTTGTAGGAGTGTGTGTGTACACACATACATGTCCATAAACTAATTCATGTGTATGCATATATATGGCAAAGGCAGAGTTGGATCTGAACAGAGTCAACAAAGAGAATGTAACTAGAAAATAGATTTCAGAAGAGAAGAATTATACTCTTTTACTCTGCTCCAGTGATAAGAATCAATCTCTTTGACACCACCTGTTCTTTAGCTGCAAAAGCCATCGGCTGTATGTCCTTTACGGCTTCTCAGTTCAGTAATAGGAAAAACAGCGTTATTTCAAGAGACCTTGGGAATGGTTTTTAAACAATTCTCACGTAATATAAATTGTTAGACCTATTATACTCTTTCTACAAAGTAAGGCATTTGATTTTATTTTTCCTAAAGTTCTGTTTTTCTTCCATACTCCCCCTCATCCCTTGCCCCATGTAGTTTAAGCCAAATTGAAGCCAAAAAAGAGCTATTTTGATTAAATTTGAGAAGTTCCAA